AATGAAACTGGATTATTGTCTAACCCCATACACAAAAGTAAACTCCAAATGGATCAAAGACCTGAATGTAAGTCATGAAACCATAAAACTCTTAGAAAAAAACATAGGCAAAAATCTCTTGGACATAAACATGAGCAACTTCTTCATGAACATATCTCCCTGGGCAAGGGAAACAAAAGCAATAATGAACAAGTGGGACTACATCAAACCGGAAAGCTTCTGTCCAGCAAAGGACACCACCAATAGAACAAAAAGCATCCTACAGTATGGGAGAATATATTCATAAATGACATATCCGATAAAGGGTTGACATCCAAATTATATAAAGAGCTCACACACCTCAACAAACAAAAAGCAAATAAGCCAATTTAAAAATGGGCAGAGTAGCTGAACAGACACTTCTCCAAAGAAGAAATTCAGATGGCCAACAGGCACATGAAAAGATGCTCCACATCACTAATCATCAGAGAAATGCAAATTAAAACCACAATTAGATGCCACCTCACACCAGTTAGGATGGCCAACATCCACAAGACAAACAACAACAAATGTTGGCAAGGATGTGGAGAAAGGGGAACCCTCCAACACTGCTGGTGGTAATGTAAACTAGTTCAACCGTTGTGGAAAGCTGTATGGAGGTTCCTCAAAAAACTCAAAATAGAAATACCATTTGACCCTGGAATTCCACTCCTAGGAATTTACCCAAAGAAAACAACTTCTCAGATTCAAAAAGACATATGCACCCCTATGTTTACTGCGGCACTATTCACAATAGCCAAGAAATGGAAGCAACCTAAGTGTCCATCAGTAGATGAATGGATAAAGAAGATATGATGCACATACACAATGAAATATTGTTCAGCCATAAGAAGACATCCATAAGAAGACAATCCTACCATTTGCAATGACATGGATGGAGCTAGAGGGTATTATGCTCAGTGAAATAAGCCAGGTGGAGAAAGACAAGTATCAAATGATTTCACTCATCTGTGGAGTATAAGAACAAAGCAAAAACTGAAGGAACAAAACAGCAACAGACTCAACAGAAACCAAGAATGGACTAAGAGTTACCAAAGGGAAAGGGACTGGGGAGGATGGGTGGGAAGGGAGGCATAAGGGGGAAAAAGGGACATTATGATTAGCACACATAATTTAGCGGTGGTGGGGGGACATGGGAAAGGCAGTATATACTGAGAAGACAAGCCATTTCAATAGCATCTTACTATGCTGATGGACAGTGACTGTAATGGCTATGTGGGGGTGACTTGATAATAGGGGGAGTCTAGTAACCATAATGTTGTTGAAGCAATTGTACATTAATGATATCAAAACAAACAAACAAACAGGGTATAGAAGCAGATGTTCTAAGCCACTCCCAATTCCAAATACCTTTGCAGTTTCCCAGAGGCCCCCTATACCCTTCAAGCAACCCTGTGACCCTATGTCACATGCCAAGCCAGCTGCCCACAGCTTTGTGGTTCTGTTTTTGCACCTCCCCCCCAAATGGTGGAAGGGAGGATGCGGGAACCCAAGGAAGACCACTGGGGCCAGTTTTCATCGAACAGAAGCCATTCCAAAGGCAGGCGAATTAACGTCACCATGTGTGCAGTTTGCAGGAGACGTACGAGGCCAAAAGGAATGAGTTCCTAGGGGAGCTCCAGAAAAAAGAAGAGGAGATGAGACAGATGTTCGTCCAGAGAGTCAAAGAGAAAGAAGCTGAACTTAAAGAAGCAGAGAAAGAGGTAAATGTGAGTTTGAGTGCTGGGAGGGAAGGAAGAGGGGACTGAGCTTGGGTATGGCAGGGACTTCTGTACTTAGAGCGCAGCCAGTGGGAGCCTTGCAGTCTCCAGGCCGGAATGGAGAACAGCTTCTGTAGCCCTGCCTTGCCTGGCCCAGGGCGCGCTGTGAGATCTGTATCTTGATTCGTCATTCCCCAAGGCTGGAACTTTTTCTCAATCTTACTTAATTCTCTAGAGCCATGCTCTCCCATATGGTAGCCACTAGCCACATGTGGCTATTTAAATTTAAATGAATTAAAATTAAATAAAATTTAAAACCCAGTTCCTCAGTTACCTTAACCACATTTCAACAGCTTAACCCTCATGTGACTAGTGGCTATTATATTGGATAGCACAGATATAGAACATTTCCATTGCCGCAGAAAGTTCTCTTGAGTGCTGCTTGATCAAGGGTCAAGATATGACATACCCCCTCAAGGTCCCTGATTCTTTCCCCTCTTCCTGGGAGTTTGGAGCTCAATAGGGAAAGCTGATCTCTTTCTTGGCTGCCCTGCCCTATCCTACCTCCTCTGATGGCCCTGGGGAAAGAGGCCCCCAGGCAGTGCTGGGTACCTTGCTGAAACCGAAACCATGACAGCTGGACTTTTCCCCCATTCACTTGGATATTCTCTTCCATTTCATGTTAACGTTAAAAAAAATCTGTGCGGCTCTAGTGAGTTTTTAAACTAAAGCTTGCTGGTCTATCTGGGGTTTTCATTACTTAAGCTGTGCCTAATAGAGTGTAACTAGTCCTTTCCCCCCATCACCTTGTCTCCAGGGTCTCCCTACCAGTTCACTCACTGCTGCTGATTAAGTGGCCTCAACTACATGCTTGATCACGTCAGCAACTGCTTCCCTTCTCTGGGCCTTGAAAACCATAAATAAGGAAAGCACTTAATCATTCCCCAAGTCTCTTCCTCTGTAATCTGTTGGGACTCTCTGGGGTTTTCACCAAAGCCCGTGGCAAGGGTATTGATTTTACTTCAGTTTCACTTTTCGGAAGAAAAATGTCACCCAATGCATTTGGGAGGAGAGGTGAGGGGATCTCAAAGATAAATGAATGAAAGGCCTATAGCCAAAAGCCAGGTTACAGCAATTGATCAGAAGTTTCTACCACCCTATCCTGAGTGCCTAGTAAAAGCTGGTGTACACAGCAAGTCTGTCAGCTACACCCCTTACTAAGTGACTGTCCCAAATACCTATAGGACCCAGAGACCTTATCTTTTTCATGGTGTGCTCTAAGTGCTACGGAATCCTAAATTCTCTCCTGAATCCTCAAAAGAAATTGAAAATTTGCTTGGGCTGCTGTTCCTATTCAGGGTACTACCCTGAATTGCATTCTAGTTTGTTACCACCAATACCTCTTGCTCCGTGATCTCCTTATCAGTGTGGTGTGCCAGAATATTCTTGCTAGTCTCCTGTGGGTCTCTGGCTCTATTCATGGCTAGCTCAGCTTTCCCTTGGTCAAGGCTGAGGTCTCTGTACTCACTCCATTTTGTAAAATTCCTTTATCTCCTTGCAAGTCTGAGGACAAGTATTTCCTTTGCCCACTTTGGCATTGCTGAAGTGTTCTCTGTAACCCATGGTGGTCCTTCATAACTGGAGGAAATACAATAAGGCAGGGGCCCCTTTCTTACTGGGGAATCTCATGATATAACCCTCTAAAGCATGCATCAACTTTGGGTAACTTCCTTAACTCTCCGACCTTCTGTTTCCTCATAAAGTGCAGAAAATAACAGAACCTACATTATAGAATTGATGCGGTGATTAAATGAGTTAATACATATAAAGTGCTTATAAGAGTCAGTGCCTGGCCTTTAATAAGCACTCAATAAATGTTATACTATTACAGTTGATATTATTATTAACCATGTGTGGTAACTCTTCTAAATAAAACGTTTGATTAAGCAGAATGCAGGGTTCTCTGACCATATTCAGGAGCAGAAACTTGGAGGTAAATTGGCAGGAGAAGGGAACTATCCAGAGCTTGATGCCATCGTAGCAGTCCCTGGAAGAGACATCTCCTAAGGTCCCAGGGTCCTGCAGGTTGCACTTGCCAGTCCCCACCCACCCTGGGTTTGGCCCACCCGTGAGCCGCTCACAGGGAACTGTCCAAAACTCCCTCTGCTTCTCCGCCAGCTACATGAGAAGTTTGACCGACTGAAGAAACTACACCAGGACGAGAAAAAGAAGCTGGAGGATAAAAAGAAATCCCTAGAGGATGAAATGAATGCTTTCAAACAGAGAAAGACTGCGGCTGAGCTGCTCCAGTCCCAGGGCTCCCAGGCTGGAAGCTCACAGACTCTGAAAAGAGACAAAGAGAAGAAAAAGTAAGTGGTAGGCTTCTCTGGGGTCATGGCTTCTTTCTCCCTGCAGGGCCCGGAGACTGAGGCAGCTGAGGGCCAGTGACCAGAGGTGAGCTGTGGGCTAATAGACTCATTTGCATACCACTGACTGTTCCCAGTGTCCGCATGGAACCCTCAGATTCTGAGTTTGGGGAACTGAGAGTAGAGGAAGAGTGTGTTCACAGAGGCCCAGCCCCTCTGTTCAGATCTCTTAGGAAAGCCCTGAAACTCTAGGAAGGAGGAGAGGGAAGGAAAGGAAAGGAGAAGCACAAGGGATGTGAGAGGGTAGGAAGAGGGAGGAAACAAGGGCTGCAGAGGACTGAGGGAGAGAAGAATGGACAAAAGGGCAGGTGGAGAGTTGGGGAGAAAGAGCCTTAGCAAAAGCCTCTGGGCACCCTCTGTCCTGCCCCGCCAGAGGTTGGTGCCTAGCTGGCTGGCAGGTGTAGGTGCTCATCTGGTATCTGAGGCTTTCGCCTCTCCATGCCTGTAGGCCATCCCTCACCCTGCCTCAGTTCTCAGTAGCCGTAGCCAACAGTGGTTAAGCAGCATAGTCCGGGTGTCCCACCCTTTGCCATCCCTCTGTCTGGGCTGCCTGGTTGTTACTGGCCTGAGGTACAGAGAACTTGGTGGCGAGCCCTCAGGTGCTAGTATTCTCCGTGTGCCCCATCCTCAACCCAGGGAATGATTTTATAATTCATCTGTTTTCCCTGAAATTTGGTAAGGCAGGATAGCTGGGCTACTGGTGACCATATAGGTCAGTAACCACAGGCAGGCTTTGCTTGCTGAAGTTACCCGTGCCTCATCTCAGAGCCAGAGAAGAGAAAAGCTTTTCCAGTGGGACCCAAACAACACCAAGGAAACATCCAGTGGGTGCTTGAGGTCTAGTTATTGTGCGGTGTGCCTGAAGGAGTCCTCAGATGGAATGTTAGGTGATGTCCTTACAAAAGGGGCCTGAGGATCTGAAAGATGTCCATGGTCCTTGCCTTGTGATCTTAGCCAGTTGTTCCTGACTTAACTATTGGATATTTTCCAGAAGAAGGAAACGTTTCCCCTGTGCCTGCCTTATCACAGGCACTATCTTATATGTGACTATTTTATATGTGAAGGCACTCAGTCTTGCTATCCGATTATTCTTTGTTCAAAAGTATAATTTGAACATTTTCATCAATTAGTCCACTGTAGATCAAATTCACTGACTAATTAACTTTTGGGGGTATTACCCAGTAGATAAAATTCAAGTAGCTAGAAAAAAGCGTCTTTGAACACACTATATATTAACTGATCTGTCATGGCATGTTTAGTTGCACCAGCAGGAATGGATCTTTAAGATCAGAAAAGTCTAAATTTGTCTTCAAGCTCTAACTGCTGCCTTCATAGTCCTGTGGTGTTTGTTAACTTAATCCCTGGGGTAGTTTCACAGTCTGCTTGACAGAATTAGGAGATGCGTTTTTGTTTGAACCTCAGTGACACAAACCTATAAATATTCCTTATTCAGGTGTTCAGTGAGAGTTTCTCCCAGACCAGGCTTTCTCCTAGTTGCTTTCAGTTAACTGTCCCCCATCCCTAACCCAGGCAGAAGACCCTATACAAGGAGACATGTCTCTCCAGTCTCCAGGCATATTTGGGGTTGGTGACAGCATCATTTTCGAATTCTGAGATGGGTGAAAACCTTGCTGGTGTGTGGCACCCCTATTAGCAGTAAGGGCCTGACAAAATAGACTGTCCTTTTCCATACTCCCACATATATATAAGTGGCTCTAGGCCTGGGCTTCTTATGTAATTCCACCAACAGTTGGCTAACTTCTGGAAAACCTGTCATAAGATCTGTGCCACTTTGTTCCCATAGTGTGATGATGGTGGTACAAGTGGAGGCATCAGCCTTTCTTCTTGAGAAGTAGTGGTTGGATCTAATAGAGTCACTGATTCAGAATTTCCACTGGCTTCCCTTAAAGAGATTGTTTCAGGGGTCACTACCAGCCTACCCACCTCTTACCCTCCCCACTCCACCTAATCTCTTTTGACCTCTAACTCTTCATTGTTTGTGTCAAGTCATAATATTTTATTTCTCCTCAAGTGCCCTCCATCTTCATCAGCTCTTAATATTTTACAGTTAACTCTGCTGTTTGCTGCATGCTGCATGAGACCCAGGGTCCTGGTAAGCTTTATTAACTCTAAATAAAACTGACAGTGGCTTCTAGAACATCTTTCCCCAAATCCCACCCCACCTGAACACACATATCTAAACATAAAAGAAGCTGCTTCATTGTTCTAGCTGGCTTCCTTTTGTGACTTACAATATTAAGAAGTAGTCCGCTCTGGTTTCAAGTATACATGTGGAATGTGTGCCTGTGTGATTAAAAGTAAGTGTTTTCTGACTTGCTGCTAGAACAGCTAGGTAGCATAGGTGGATCCTGTGATAGATATGTGAGGTTTCAATTTTGGCCATTTTTTTCTTAAAACCCCTTAATCAGTATGTAAAATTACTGAAGTGTAGTGATGAGGGAAATCATTGGGTTCACAAGTCTGTTTTGCAATGTCACAGTCAGCCCTGACCCCCAAGTTTGGAAATGTTCCAAGTCAGTAGAAACTTGCTTCTCTGTTTCCCTCTGGTGGCTGTTTCTTAGCTGAGGGGCTCAAGTTCTCAAATTTCCTTTGTCTGTGTTCCCCCCACAAACCCAAAATGAAAGTGGAAGAAAATGAAGAGATTTCAGATCTTCCAGAGAACACTTTACCTTTAATTCTACAAGTACCATCTTTATGAATACCTTTGATAAGTAGGTAAGCAGGTAGTAGGTGGGGAGGAACATAATATGTTTAACATAATTAGGCCTATTACTGTTTTTTTTAACTTTACCATAGAAACTTCCAACAAGAAACAAAGAAGCAAGAGGTAGTACACTGCAGCCCCATGTACCCACAACCCGGCCCCCAAACAACTGTGAACATTATGGCCAATGCTGTTTCATCTGTTATGTTACCCCAAACCTGCTGGATTATTGTAAAGCAAAACCCATATCATTTCATCTGTAAATACTTTAGCATGTATCTCTAAGAGATAAATTTTTTTAAAAAAGCCATAACTACAGTGCCACCATTATCACACCTACAAAATTAACGATTTGTTAACACAAAATTTCTAGTCTGTGTTCAGACTACCCCAGTTGTCTCATAAATGCATTCTACATTTGGTGTATTTGGATCATAAAATATTAAATATTGAGAGGACTTCTCCCCGCTTACCAGTGTAGTTTATGATTTAAACGGAGAGCCTGCTGTTAGTCACCAAACCGATTGCTGCAGCTATTGCACTGGGGACTTTGGGCAGCTGGCAAAACATCCTACTTTCAAGCAAATCTGAAGAGGAAGTCCATAGAGCCTTCTGAAACATAAAAACCATGAAACTGGGCCAAAGGAAACAACAGTAAAAGAACAATGAAATGATTTATTGTCTGGCTTCAAGGCAAGTCTTGGAGCCCCTGGTAATTGACTGGAATTAAACAGCTGCTTTCCATTTAGGAAAACTATAAATTCCTAGCATGTCCATACTGTCATTGTCCCAGTGCTTACTTAGCAAAATGTCTGACACCTGTAGGACCTCAGTTCATGTGTATTTTCTCTATCCCCCCATTTTCAATGAGGAGAGCAGGAAAGGTATATCTGGTACGTTAGATTTCTGTTGATTCGGGGTTTTGGTGCACGTGGTTTGACACAATTTGGTTCAGGTTTCCTTGAGTAAATCATTGTTAGTGGCCATTACTAAAATGAATTCAGGCAAAACTATAATTAAGGCATACTTTACAAGTGAGATGTAATTGGCAAACAGCAGGAACAGCCAACATCAACCCCAAGTAGGTTGGCTTTTGCTGGCAGGCTTCTCCCCAGCAGACCACAAAAGCAGTTCCCATCCAAACACTTGGCTCTCAGGGATCTGAGAGCAACAGAGGCAGCCTGTCCCCTCCCCAAAGCCCTCATTCCAATGGTAGATCACAAAGGCCACCCCTCATTAACTGGAGTGCAGACAGAATGAGACCTACTGTTCCTCACTGGGTTTGAAATTGCTTGAGGCACTACTGACAGCTGTCTGCGCTCAGAAGAGAAATTCCTCTGTGGTCCATCCACAGTTGCCCATACTGTATCTCAGTGGTTACTGGCCCCTTGGCCTTTGCAGGGGATGTGCAGCATGTGGACAGTAGACACATAGCAAAACATATCAGTCTTCCCATGAAGCCCAGAGCATAGACCATTGCAGCGCCGTTTGGTCCTTTCTTCCCCTAGGAAGTAGACGAAGAATAAAATAGGTGAGCATTCGTATAACATTTTAATACTTTTCAAAGTGTTTTCCCATAGGATATTTCATTTCACCTTAAACCAGTCCTTTGAGGTAGAGGAGGAAGGAATAATCTTCTGTTTACAGGATGAGTAAATGGGGGAACAGGGAATTTAAGAGACCAAGAATCACAGTGAGTGGCAGAACAGAAACAAGGGCACAGAAGTCCTAATTCCTGGTATAAATGGCTGTTTGTATGATTGATTGTGTGTGTTGGTGCAGGGATGTTATTCACTCTGAGAAGGTGACTGTACAAACATACTCCCATATGCATATGCTTTTAACTATCTTTCCCAAATATCTAGTGGGCTTATTTAATGAGATAAGTGTGTTCTTCGGTAATAAATGGGGACTTTGATCCACAGGCAGGGAGCTTTCAGGGACACTGTGCTATGATGGAAAAAGTTCTGATCCAATAGTCAAGGGACTCAGGCTCTGATGCTGGCCCTGATATTTGTGACCACGAGGACTGATACTGCTTGCCCTGTTAATGTCACAGGGATGAAGTTTAAGTGGGAGAAGGGTCAAAGTGCTGTGTGAACACAAGCCTAGTGACAGATTTCCATAGTTCAGGTTTTTAGGTAACTGGTCTTGACCCTAGCTCAGAGCCTAGCACCAATTGCAGACACTTCTCTAACAGATCCCGGGATACCAGTTAGCTGAGTGGGACTGTTCCAAAGGCTGCCTGAGGAGAAACCCCAATCTCCTCTGCTTTCCCTATGGGACCGAGGTGATGAGTGGCTGAGAGCTTGGCTCTCTATCCACCAGCCTGAGACCACCGGGAGATTTACTGGAGTTATTCCTATACAGTGTGTCTGGGTGGGGGTGTTAGTCAGTATCTAGTAATTAAAGAGAGAAAAAGTACTGTGTTGATAATTATCTTACTAGCTAAATGCCACTGCACTACTGCTGCCACTCAGAGGTGTGTGTGGTTGCATGAGAGAGAAAGCATGTTCCCAGGACCTCAAGACCACCTAACAAGGCTATATTCTAATTTATCCGTTAGTCATCATGACAAACAATTTTCTTCTAACCTTTTGTTTTGTGCATTAATCCATCCATTCATTAATCCAACTTCTCTTTTCATTTTCAGTTTAGGCTTCCTGTAGACACCCTTTTCCTGCGCAACGGAGCTGGGCCTCCCTTTCTCTAATTCACCCTTAACACGTCTGGGGGCACACAACCTGTGCCCTCCCCTCTCTCCCTGACAAGGTTTATAGAAGCCTGAGAGTCCGAGGACGGTGCCTGGCCTCTGGTCAAGAAGCCAGCAGTCGTGTGGCTTGGAGATGCACCATGCATCCCAGGGCCCCCAGCCTGCCACCTATCTTTGCCAGACTGTAACATGCTCAGGAGGTCAATCTTCTACACTCCACCAGCAGCTTCCCTGTTTGAACCCTGATTGCTGCTTGGTTCCCTGACGTATTCACGTCTACAATGGCTGGGTAAGCACCAGTCAGCATGGCTTTCCCCATTAGTCCCCAGTCACTGGGCTTCCCTGACTAGCCCTCACCCACCAACAGGAGCCTAAGCCCCTTCTCAGCAGGCTCCAAAGGAAGCCGTTTGGAGCCTTTTCCCTCTTGCCTCTCAGTCCAGCCCTTAACAGTTTTGATTTGCTCCAAGTAACTGCACTCGAGCTGTGTTAAAAATGCAGAATGAATTTATTTACAACAAACCCTTCCCAGAAAACACGACTGCTGAAGAGAAGAGCATAAATTTCCCCTCTCTATAATATAGGTACCCCATGGATGCGGAAGGGAGAATAAACCTGAATGTTATTATCAGCCTAGTGTCTTGAGTGATAGACTTAAGGAATTCTTCTGAGAAGTCTCAGTACCTCTGTAATTCCCTTCAGGACTCCATACCATCCCAGTAAGGGGGCATGTGTGACCATCCGGTAGCACACATGATCATCCAGGGCCATGAACAGCCACACTGGGCAGTCACAGCAGCAGTGTTTTCAGTTTTGCTCTAATGAGTCTTCCAGTTTGTTTATTTGGTGAATGTGATGATGAGTTTTAATCTATATTTTTCACGTGTCCCCCAGTAAGAAGAAGTGAGACAATCAGCTGGAGAGGAGAAAGAGGTGTTGGATCTTGGAAAGCCCCTTTCTCTCCAGTCTAAGAATTAGATTTTTTAAAAACATTCCAGGACTAATTTTTATACCAAGGCCTATCCAATAGTGGCTTTGGGAACCCCTTTGAAGGAGAGAGTCCTGCATTGTCCGTCAGGGCCACCAGGCACAGTGAGACAGGGAGAGCTGGAGGTGAGCTGGCAATGATCTGTGGCTAACACGCCGTTTCTCTACCCTTCCTTTGCAGTAATTCATGGCTGTGTACTGAATAGTATTCCCTGCTACAGCTGGACTGGACTCCACTTAGCCTTTTCAGCCAAGGTTCCTATTTTAACTGACAGCTTTCCTTTGGGGTGCCAGGCAGCCAGGACCCTTACCCTTGCTGTGTACTTGCACTTCACACCCCACCTCTTCTTTTGAGTTCCGCCTCCCAGCCCCAGTGGCACTGATCCTGACCTTCTTTCTTTAAATTATTTTGAGGTTGGTTTTTTTTTTTAACCACTTTTTTTCCCCAAAACACACAGTCAAACAAGGCTCTGCCAAATTTTCAGGCCTTTTTGCAATGTTGAGAATGGGGAGGGTTTCTCTCTTCAACAGTAGATAATCATAAGGGAAAAGTAGAAAAAAGGAAAAGCAAACATTTACACACTATCTTTTCTTGTTGGCAGAGCAAGGGGTGCAGTTCTGAGGTGTGTTTGGTGAGTCACTGACTGGTTAGTGACCAGAGGCAACTATGAAGATGATGCTGTCAAAGCATAAGCTAGTTTTCTTGAGAAAATCCAAGTGTCATTGTAGAGCATGTTGGGAGCCTCTATGCTTTGAGGTTCAAAACAAAACAGAACAGACAGGAACGTGAATATTCGGCCAAGTAGCTCAGATGCTAAGTTGGGCTGTCAGGTCTCCTTGGGAAAGGCATCCTGCTTGCAGCTTTGATGTTACCAAGTCTAGTTTCACAGCTACTTCCCAAGAACCCCAAATTTAAACAACCAACCCGTCTCCATCCCCTGGGTAATTATTTGCATTACAAATAGGCCCCCCTCATTTGCATTTGTTTACAGATTAACTACTTGAGGCCGGAGAAGCCCTGAAAACCTCAAAATTTTAGAGCCACTCAACCTTTGAGAGATCTCAGAGACTAGACAGAATTTTTTTTACCAAGGGAGAACTTTGGGTCTTTAAGACAGATGTGACCCACTTTTTTCATAAGAGGAAATTGAGGCCCAGAGAAGGGAAGGGACTTACCGGAGGTCCCAGTGCTATTTCATGGCAGAAGCCAGGCTAAATTCAGTGGCTCCTGACTACCGATCCATTTCACAAATGGATTCAATCTGTTCCTGTATGTTCTTGGAGACAAGGTCTGTTGATGTTCAGAGAAAACAAATAGTTAGTATTACAAGGCCCTTGAGTCTTTTTCCCCATAGAAGAATAGCCAAGGGGAGTTGGGTAGGGGGCTGGCAAAGCAGAAGACTTCAGACCAGCTCTGAACTTAGTGCTTCTGCTGACAGTAGGATCCCCAGGCATCTGTTAGCCAGCCAGTTTTCCTGGAAGTCTGGAATGGGGCCCAGGCATCCGAATGTTTAACAGGTGTCCTAGATGATCCTTGTAATCAAGGAAGTTTGGTAAACAGAAATCTACCCTGTGAGTGAACATGAGGCCTTTAGAAAGTCTATCAGGGCTATTAAAATAATTAAAATAGTTATTTTATTGGGTAGCTTTTCTCACTGTAGACAGAAAGGCGTTTTTCCTTCTTCAGTGAAAAGGCTTTTTAATTAGTACTGTACAATTGTTACTAATTTTTTTAAAAGATACCCTAAGTACTCTGTTTACTTCTGGGGAAACAAAACCAGTCATTGGAAATGATCTACACTTTTATTTTTCCCGACTGGAATGGAATGGATTTCCTGAAAAATTCCCATGTGTGTACACGCAACCCCCACCCCCAAACACACACATACACACACACCTAATTTCTCAAGCCAAGAAGTTCACACACACACACACACACACACACACACACACAGCCCTCATTTCTCAAGCCAAGAAGTTTGCTTTTCCTGCCTGCAGTGCAGAGCACTTTGGTTCTTTATTTTGTTTTTTGTCTTAATCATTTGGTATTCACGTGTGGCTGTTAATATGTGCTTTTGAATTAAAACAAGAAGCTTTAAACAGGTGTGTGGTGTTCTTAAAACCTTCTCAGTAGATTTGCTGGTGGTGATGGTCCATCAGTGGCCCCATTACTATCCTGTATTCTTTATCTATAATCTGTGCTATCTCACATTGCCCACTCCCCTTGCCCTGTCTTACTTTGTGCTTTCTCTTTGGCTAATTTCGTGTTTTCTTTCTCTCTCTCTCCCTCTCCAGCTTTTTTTAATCTTGTCTTCAGAAGCTGCATTAAGTCTAAAGGACAAGACTGCCATTCTAGAAGAGTTAGGGTTCCACACTGTCTCAAACTAGAAACCAACCAATTCCCTCTTCCCTCAAACTGTGCACACACCACACACTCAACAGTGTTCATGTGTCCCTGTGTCCGGCAAGAAGCTCTCTCCTGATTTACATGGTATTTTAAATGGAAGTGTCTTGTTTTAACCTAACGAGGCAGGAAAAGAACCATCAGAGCTGGAGAATGAACCAAATGCAACCTCAGAGAGACAACTGCAGGATGACTCACCCAAGTGTAAGTGACCAGGGCAAGAGACCTCAGGTGTGGGTGTGGAAGTGCTGTTCACAAGTTCTCTGTTTTCTGTTTTTTTTCTTTTTTAACACCGATTCTCCAGTTGAGTGGGTTGACTGTCTACAGCCACTATTAAACATTTCTGAATATGGGAGAGAAAGGCAAGTAACACTCGGTATCTTCTTCAGCATTCATAGACACTGCAGACTTTCCCCTGGCAAGGGGGAAATGGAGCCACTAGCCTCAGGTGGAGAAGGGAGAGACAGGATGGGGTTTAAACTTAGTGAGATCAAAATTACTCTGTTCAACCTTCCAAGGCCAGCTGGGGTCTTGAGAGAGGTTTCTGCCCAACCTGGGATCTGATGGGAGAGCTTTGATGTTGATAAGTCGGCCTTGAATTCATTGGTTTAACTTGGATCAGAATGCTATGTGACATCTCTATGACCATTACCTTCCACTGTCCCGTATTTCTTGAGAGAGCCTCTTTGCATGTTTTCCAGAATCTGTTTGTTTTTCCTTTCTTTTCCTTTGTTCTTTTTGCTCAAAGGTGTGACCAGTCACTGCCCCTCAGGGGCTTTCATTCTCCAGGAAAATCATCCCGAAACCAGCACTGTTTAGCTTGATACCTTTCTAATGTCCATGTCAATTTTCAATAAAACTCAGAAGAAATGCTCAATGGCTGTGTGATCTGATCTGAAATCAGTACATGATGCGGGTCCACCACAGTTTGCCTCAGGAGGAGTGGGTGGCTGCCTTCCAAGTGGGTGACTGGCATATGCAGCCTTCCTAGGTGGCCTGCTGTGTCCCCACTACCCTCCTCCATCTAGGCCTAACATTCCCATTGGCTGGGGGTGGGCAGGAAATCTCTACTTTTCCTTTATTAGCATGGATTTAACTGATTCCTTGAGCTCATTATCACCTAGGATAAAAGATGAAGAAAGTGGAGTGTCAGATCCTACAGAACAAGGTTTGGGTGAGTTATAATTCTGGAAGGAAAAAAACTGTACCACTTGTCTTTCATTTAATCCTGTGATGTGCCCTCCCGAAAATTCATGAATATGACTGTTCTCTATGACTCAAAAAGCATTCTATAGATAGCAGGTACAGGTGACACTAGAACAACATGGGGTTGAACTGTGTAGATACACTAATACATGAATTTTTTTCAATAAATATATCGGAAAAAAATTTGGTGATTCGCAGCAATTAGAAAAAACAGTTTCTCTAGCTTACTTTATTGTAAGAATACAATATATAATACAACCTACAGAATATGTTAATCAAATGCTTATGTTATCAGTAAGGCTTCCAGTCAACGGTAGGTTATTAATAGTTTTGGAGAAGTCAAAAGCTATGCATGAGTTTATATATATTTATATGACCCTTTATGTGGAGGGTCAGCCCGCCTAACCCGAGGTGTTCAAGGATCAACTACAGAACTTTGTGTCTGGGTCTATGAGCATTAAAGTGAGCAAGAGGGGGCGTGGTCAGTTTTCATAATTTTGGTTGCAGTTAACATGACGTTTTCTTTCATTGGCTTCATTCCCGAATGGCCCGATGCTGGAGACTAGAGAGTGATCTGTATCCTCTCCATACCCAAGCCTGGAGGCCTCTGGAGGACCAGAGGAACTACCCTGGCTTGTATAGCTCTCACATTAGGGGGGCAGTGGGGTGAGACACTCACCTGTGACCTCCTAACATCCCCGAGCAGCGGCAGGCACTGAGTGTGGAAAAGCGCAGGCTCTGGAGACAGACTTGCTGGCCATGTGTGCTCTGGGACAAATTGTGTGAAAAACTTATCTGTAAGAGGAGAATATCAGGGACTCCTTTGCAGGGTGATTGTGAAGGCTGTATGAGCTAATGTATATTAAAGACCTGGTCAGTCAATAAACAGTATTCGTTATTAAGGATGGAGTTTTCCTTCTACACAAAGTACCTTAGGTTCTTTTAACACAGGGTTTCTCAACCTCAACACTTAACATCTGAGGCCAAGTAATTGTTGTGGAGGGCTGTCCTGTGCACTGTAGCAAGTTTAGCAGTTTAGCAGTGTCCCTACCCAGTACATGTCATAGCACCCCCTTGTGAAGCACCCCCACCCCAGTGGTAATGATGAAAAAGGTCTCCTGGAGGGTAAAATTGTCCCTTGTTGAGAACCATTGCTCCAGGCCAGGGGTCAGCAAACTTTTTTTAAAGACCAGCTGATAATCTTACTATGTTGATGGACAGTGACTGTGAACCGGGATGTGGGGGGGACTTGGGGGAGGGAGGAGTCTAGTAAAACAATGTCCTTCATGTAATTGTAGATTAATGATACCAAAATAAAATAAAAATTTTAAAAAAAGACCAGCTGATAATATTTTAGGCTTTGCAGGCCCTGTGGACTGCAACTATTTAGCTGTTACTATAACACAAAAGCAGCAATAGATACTGTGTAAAAGGATGAGTGTGGCTGGCTGCCAATAAAACCTTACTTATGGATACTGAAATTTAAAATTCACACATGAGTTTCATTTTCACAAATGTCCTGAATTTTGGTCTTTTTCAACCAAAAAGTGTAAAAACCATTCTTAGCACAAGGGTCATGTAAGTGCAGGTGGTGGTACCAGACTTGGCCCGTGGGCCCTAGTTTGCCAGTCTGACATCTACCACATTTTAGTGCTTGTTGATGCATAATTTAGCCTAAAGGTGTTAGAAGTGATTGGTCAGTCCAAGGAAATAAGAAATGAAGACAAATGGCTGAGGTTCTAGTGCAAGTTAGTGGGGAAAATCGGTTTGGATAATGAAAAATTGGTGTACAGTTTTGCTAGACCAGAGGCAGGGGCCTGCTGTGGCCATGAGAGTCTGTTCTGGGGCATTGCTGAGCAAGTGGGAACTTCAGCTGCTTCTAAGGAGAGAACCAGACCCCTAATACTCTCCAAAAGGCCAAGCAACCCAGGCTCCAGTTGTAAGGCCTGAGGTTAAGCCATGCCCTTTTCTGTCTGCAGTGCCCCTATTTAGGGAGATTTATACCTTGGCTATAAACAGCTTTCTTGCAAAGCCATTCTTTTAAAATAGGGGCACCCATTCAAGGGGTTATGCATTTGAACAATAGTATCTCCCAGTGGTTTTGCCACCTGGTCCTACCTTCCACTGGTGTATGTTCAGGTCCTGCACTACCTCTTAGCTTCTTTGGCTTGGGTTTTACAAAGTCCCTGTCCTGGGCTCAACACCTGTAAAAAATTCTATCTATATCTGCTATGTATAGGATTGGGGACAAACTCCTTATCTTGGTTTTGGGGTTAAATTTCTTTTTCTTCATCAAATGATAAGGATATATTGAACACCTCCGATGGGCTTGGCCCCATGCCTTATACTATGGGGGATACTTTTGCATGAGATCTAGTTAGACACTGCTCTTGAGGAACTTAGACTGGCCCCAATTTACTTATTCAACCATATTTTCTGATACTTCCTAATAATCTATTCCAGTCCACTGGTCTCTGCACAGGCCTCTCCCTGAGTTACACAATCTATTTGTTGACTTTGTCTGAAATATCCTCTATTGATTAAGATCCTGCCTTTGAGGCTCAGGCTCTACCTTCTCCTTCAAGCCTTTCTTGACCCCCACCCACGTAGCCTATCTCTTCTCCATTTTTTAACTTCCTAGTTGAACTTTTTGTAATTTTTTCTGCTTCCCCTTTGAGGGACCTCCCTCCTCAAGTGATGTTAAGCTTCCCAAAGATAGGAACATCATCTAACACCCTCCAGAGGGCGCAGTAAAATGCTGGACACACAACAAAAAGGTAACTAGTTTGAGATTCTTCACCAATGCAGGGAGTTACTGCACTTTTCAAACATTTAATTTCGAAATTAAGTTGTAAGAATAGTACAAAGGATACCCACACACTCATGACCTGGATTCACCAATTGGTAATGTTTTGCCCCATTTGCTTTATCATTCATGCTCTCCATATATGTAGATAGATAGATAGATAGATAGATAGATATACATATTTTTTCTAAATCATCTGAAGGTACTTTACATGTATCATGGTCCTTTACCCTTATATATTCCAGTGCAGATTTTCTAATAGTAAGGATTTTGTCTTACAGGACAATAGACAGTTATCGATTTAGTAAGTTTAACATCATTACACTAATCTGTTGAATGATATGCTTTATAGCATTTTTTTCTTTCCATATAGGGTTCAGTCCAGGATCACCCATTGTGCCCTCTTTAGACTCCTTTAATCTGCAACAGCCTTTGTCTTTTATGATATTTTTGAAATCTCATTAAAAAATAGATTGTTCTCATTTTGTGTCAAAGTATTGTCCAATTTCTCCACTGTGTAATTACTGGGGTTTTTATCTTCTTTGCTACTAATAAACAATCTGGGGAGAAGTCCATAAGTCCATGCAAACATCCTATTCCTCATAAGAAATTTCCCCCTAGATTTAGCATCTACTGATAATTCTTGCCCAAACCAACCTACAAAATGATTTTTCCAACTCCAACACTCCCTTCAAATATACCCGTCAGCAAAGGCCCTCCCTTCGCCCTATTGTTTCTTTATCCACTTAGCATCACCGTGGACTTACTGCTTTCTATCCTTTTGATGGTTCGTTACTGTCCTTAACAACTTTTGTACTCAAATTGCTAAGATTTGGCCAGTGAGAACTCCTAGCTATTGCTTTTAATCCATTAGTAAACATTCCTCAAGAAGATATTGTAGGGCAGACTACTCCGGTCAAGACTTTTGGTGATCCAATTTCTGGGATAGTTTATGGGAACATTCCTTAGCCAGGCTCCAGGTTTCCCTCCTTCAGTCACTCACTGACTCCCTCTTAGGAAAGGTCAGGGAACTATTAGTGTGTGTGTGTGTGTATATATGTATATAATGTACAGACAGTGGCAGGAGCCTGTGTTAGAACAGATAAAGATGGTGGAGGGGAGGAGGGTGGATGATTACTGGTTTCTGGACTGTTTTAGGATTGCAATGGCTGCTTTTATCATTGCTCCCTCCAACACCTCTCTTCAACAATAATCCAGATATTCTACTTGTGTTTAGGGGTTTCAACCCAGAATGAGCTGAGATAGGTTGGCTGAAGGATTTTTTGATCAGAAGGACTGCCAGGGAAAGAAGGTCATACAAATTTTGTTTCGTTTTTTAGAGCTGCAACTGTTTATTCCATAGTGAGACTTACAAACGGAATCCAGTTATGGCTGTTTCAGAGCAAATAGCCTCTAACATCAGTTTCAGTGCCTTTCGTTTTATAATCCAAGTCAGAATGAAGTTATTTTGTTTCTACACGATAGAAAATTTTTAACCTGTGAGGAAGTTTTTATTTTCGCAAAACTTTTAGAAAACATGTGTATTGAATACAATGTTGATTTTGATGAAGTTTGGAAGCTTAGGCTAAAATTAATCCAACCATACAATGACCAAACAAGTTAAAATGTAGGCTCCAAGAAAATGAATTTCACAAACTTGGGACAATGGAAAGGGCCTTCATTCATTCATTCATTCATTTAATTCCACAAATATCTGTGGAGTGCCCACAAAAGCCAGGTCTAGGTGCTAAGAGCAACATAGATGAGTTCCTTGTTCTCATGGAACTGACATTTGGTGGGGAGGGGGAGGAAGGACAAACTTTTAAAAAGCTAATAAGTGATACATGCTGTGAAGAACATAAACAAGGCAATGCAATGGCCAATGAGTGGGGAAGCACTGGATAAGGAGTCAGGTGACCTAGAGTCTGATCTCAGCCTGGCCACAACAGTCTCTACAGCTTTCAGCAAGTCACTTCACCTCTCTCTGGCCTTATTTTTCACACTCATACAACGATGATGAGAATTTATGATAATCTCTAATCTTCCTTCCTAGTATCATGTCCTTTGATTTGATGGTTCGAGACTGCCATGACTTCCATAAACATGAATACCTACCACAGAGTCAAAGACAAAGCACTCCCTGTGTAATGGGAGAGACAGGCATGGAAACACATCAGGATGAAATAGTGTGAAAAGCAGTTATCTTTTGCTCTTCTCAGTCCAATACGCCCTACACATCAGATGTGTCATACAATGAGAAATAAGTCAGTAAAGAGTTAAAGAGGGCAATGGGTCAAAGCCACATCATCCAATGATCCTGCTGCCAGTGGGACATTTAGTTTTCTGCAAGACTACTACTTCCCACCAGGACTGTTACCAGTTATAGGACAACAGAGAAAACCCAGTTTCCTTTTCCTTTGTATTTCTACTATAACGAGCATATAATAGGTGCTATGTAAATTCCCTCTGACAGACACTCATTCACTACTTTAATAGCACAGATTGGCAGACTGGGATTGAGGGAACTGAATGGAGAAGATCCACGGCTGGAGTATGATGTTTGGCTACGGAGTGATTTAGCCATTTGCTGCTATGCAGCTTTTAACCTCTTCTTTGCACCGTTTGTATTTCGTAGTATTTTGCACGTTCTAGATTGGCACATGAAATACAGACTTATTTGCAGTCATGACCAGAACTGTGTAAACATGGTGTATTTGTCAGCAATTGGAAGGGAGCATGGACGATAAAAGTGGTTTACTTGACAAGTGGCGCTGTGGATGATTTTGTTTGCAGGTATTTCATTTTTACTATGCTTTCACAACAAAAGACAAAGCTAATATGCACGACGCACACAGCTGTTCACGCTATCCTTTGAAGAAAAGGCGCCTCGGAGAACTGACATTTTTAAAAATGTAAAATCCATTCCAAACCTAAGCCCCTCCCAAAGGGCACGGTCCCACGTTGCTCCACTCAGAAACCCGGGGGGGAAACGTCAGGAGAGCCATTGCTGCCAGCGACGATCTGAGGGCGCCTTCCAGGGATTTAACAGTACGATGTTCCCCAACCTCAGAGAACCTTCCAAAGATTCCCTTCCTGGAGTTCCCGCCCTCCACTGGTCACCGTAGCGCGTCAAAGGCCCTATTCGTCATCGGAGGGAAAAATGTACGTCGCGCGAGATTCCGCGACGGGATTTTGAAGTTAGGGAACAGCCGCGGCGCAGGCGCACTGGCCTCACAACCTCGGGGCGGCACGCGGGTAGGTAGGCTAGCGCCCAGAGGAGTGGGTGCAGAGCGTGCTGGAGCCTTTTTTCCCCTCCCGCGCAGTGCGTGGGTCTGCGGGTCGCTGGAGGTGCAGAGCGCGGGCTCTGGCTCGGCCACCCAGTGCGCTGTGACTGTGGCGGGCTCCTTCTAGCCCCTCCACGAGTTGGAGAAGTGCAGCGGGCGTGTGCCTCGGCGTTGGGACGAGAACTGGTGCTCGCCTTTTCCTTTTTGAAAGGTCGCCCCAAACGCACACACTCCAGTCCCCTGAGAGTTGCTCTTCGCGCCTTGGCGCGCCCCTCCTCGCCCGGCCCCTCCCACCGACCCCCGTTCCGCTAGCTCCTGGTCGGTGGCCGGCTTCATCCCCGGGGTCCCAACTTGGGGGCGGAGAAGATGGCTGGCGGACGTCTGCTGTTGGGGGGCGACTTCCTGTCGCCGCCGCCGCTGCCCCCCCTGCCGCCGCCCCCGCCCGAGCCAGTGCTGGAGCAGTGGCGCTATAGCCACGAAAGTGACTGGCAGTGGGCTCTGCGGCGCAGCTTCATCTGTCGGCACCTGCACAGCTATCCCGGGGCTGCTCTCGACCAGCTTCTCGCGCTCTCCGCTGCCTGGACCAACCACGTTTTCCTGGGCTGCAGGTGAGGAAGGTGTGAGGGACGGGTTTGGGATCAGGATAGGGGTCGGTGATGGGGGGGCTCAGGATAGGGACGGAGGCAGGATAGGGATGAGGTCTTAGAGACTGGAGATCTGGAGGTGCTGGAGGACACCAGAGGGCTCACTATTGGTCCGGGGCGAGGAGGGTGGTTGGCGGAGTGAGGTGGCCCGAGATGACATAACAGCTAGCAGGGTGCGGGGATCGCGGGAGCGGACCCTCTGGGACCAGGGATGAAGATAAAAGAGCGCATAAAAGAGAATTGTTGAGAGGTGGTCTTTGTGGTGGTGGTTTTGGAGGGTCTGGGAAATGATGAATAGCAGAACCTCGTAGTGGACCTGCATAGGAGCTTTCAAGGATGCGGTATCCGCAGAGATTTTCGACTGTCGGGATTTTGGGGGTCCGCGGTGGGAGGGGAGGGAACCCTGCGGTTCTAAACCTAGACTCCTCCTGACCACTCTGCCTTTGCATCCCCATTAAATAAAACAACATCAGCCCCTAAGCTGAGTGTTGCCGTGTCCTGGGGAAGCGGTTTGTATGAGGTCTCTCAGCTGCTGGGTCCTCCTTGCTGGTAGATTTGCGCATAATGTGGACGCAAACAAAGAAGTGGATACAGCTACAGCAAAAATGGATCGCCCTCCTTTCGCCTTAAATGTGATCAGTGGATTAACATTTGGCGTCTGGGTGAGGTTTTAAGTGTGCGTGTGTGTGTACCCCCCTTTCCCAGACCCTGGTGCGCGCGTTCTGAGCAGGCCTCCTTGAAAGCTCTTTACATACAGTGAAGACTGCAGTATAGTTCCAACGCATTTTTTTAGAACAGACTGCTGGGACCTCTGTCCTTCAGAACCCCCAAACAGGTCCTATACAAGACTATTGATTCCTTTGAAAGACTGAGGGGCTTCTTTTTTTTGACACTCCTTCCTCATGGTGGATTTTTTTATTAGGGAAGATGAGAAATTGTGGAAAATGTTCAGATCACATTCAGCCTGTTCAGTTTCAGGAATGACTGTAACAGTTACAGAGAAATAGTATTGTCTGCTCCTACCCTTAATTGTTGAATAGTATCCAGTTCTTGATACTTCACTTTGCTCTCATCACAAAAATTAATTTTTTCCTATCTTCTCTATATTAGTGTAAGATCTGCCTCCAGAAATAATGATTTCATTGGAGGAACTGGTTACAACTGGGGAAGTCTCAGTTATTAATCAAGTCAGATAAATGTAGTTGACCTTCACTTAACATGTTCTTGCATTTGAAAAGGTACTTTTATCCTGTAGTCATAGATCTTCTTAATATCACAGAAGGCCATGGGGATTCTGAATCTTAAAAAACAAATCTTACATGGGGGAGGAGAATAACCATCCTTTGTGTTAGTAATAATAAATCTGACCTTCCCACTAGAACGTAAGCTCCCTTAGCGAAAGGGTTTTGCTTTCTTACTCACACCTTTATCCTCAGTGCCTAGAAGAGCACCTTCTGCATAATAGCTGCTCAGTAAATATGTGTGGAGTGAACAAATGAATACAGCTTTATAATGTCCAAAATACTTAAAATATTTATGTACCTCAGTTAATACCACCTTGGGAATTAGGCAGTGTCTCATTTTTACAGCTAAATCAATGGAGGCCAAGAAGTTAAGAGGCTTTTCCCAGGTCCCACAGTTGGGACTAGGGCCCAAGTCTTCTGATGCTCTTAACGCTGAGACACAGCTGCTGTTTTGGGGAAGAATGGACCAGGAGTGAAAGCAAGTAACTGACACAAGCCACATCATTATTACATGTCAGGATTTTATTCCAAGAACAGCTACCTTGTATATAACTAGGGCATTTAAAAACAAAGCAGGCCAGTGGTAGTCGGTGTTAGTAGCTCGAGCATCCAGGGCATTTTGTGTATGTGTGTGCTCACCCAAGCTCATCTGTGTATAGTGTGTGTGTATGTGTGTATAGATATATATAAATACACATATACATATATATGTGTATGTATGTATATAGTCATCATGTCACATGGTAATTAAGTCAGTTCAGTCAATACAAGAAGTGCCATAACATCAAGTAGTGTAACTGAAAAATGTTTGCATTATATCTGATAACTTAGATGTAAGAGAAAGAGATGGGGCAATAAAGAGTCTCAGAAGCTAGGGACGAGGTTGAGTCTTCCACTTTAGGCAGGCTTTTTAGCTGGCGTCTTCAGGTAGGTAGAATCTATATTCGGGTACTTGTTAACGTTGATGTTGGCAGAGCTCTTGTTTTCTGGTCTATTCTTCTGTGATAGAAGAGTTTTTTTTTCCTCTCAAGGGAACTGCAGATCCATGGTGAAACAGCTCATTCTTAAATTGTTAATTTGTTGTTCAAAGTTCATGTCTTGCCAGTGGGTTTCAGCCCTGGGCAAGTTCATTCTTGATTCTGTGAGACCAAAAAATGACAGTGGAACATTTTTGGGGTGAAAGGGCTTATACTCAACTTTATTCCCTTGGTGGTAGGTCAATCACTAGAATTCCGTCCACTCAGAGCGAGTCTGCATGCAGCAAGCCGGTCTCCGCTTCTGGGCCTCTCTGCCCCCGCAGCTGTCTCAGTCTCTGTCCTCGGTGCTGCCACCACTCCAGCTTCTGCTCTCCTGCAGCTGTGCAACCCAGAGCACTGAGTGGAGCTCTTTATTTCGAGTCAGTAATACCATATTGCCTACACGTATGCAGTAAGCAAGCTGACCAGGGTCAGACGAGAATCCTGGCCGTAGGAAGTTTCATTTTCTCTACAGTTCATCCCTTGACTTTTAGAACATTAGCAAGAAAGAAGGTCTTTGTACTTTTTTTTCCACTAGAGGGCTTTCTGTATTTTCTTTTAGTTGAGGTTGAAATAACTCCCAGGTTAATGATATCTTTGAAAACTCCTTGATCATAAGACCAAGCCAGGAGGAGCTCACATGTGCAGGGAGGCAAACCATGTTTCATTCTTCTGGGTGATAGAGGTGATCTTCCTGCAACAAGTCTGGATGCTCTAACAGTGTTTTGCAACCTTCAAGCATCAGAGTCACCTGTCAGGCTTGTTAAAACACAAGATTGCTTCACAGTATAGGTAGGTCACAGGAAAGGCAGTACAGCATGGAAAAGACAAGTAGTGACTCTATAGCATCTTACTACACTGATGGACAGTGACTGCAATGGGTGGAGTGAGGACTTCATAATATGGGTGAATGCTGAAACCAGAATGTTGTTCATGTAAAAACTTCTTAAGATTGTATATCAATGATACTATAATTTAAAACAAAAAAACACAAGATTGTTGTCAGCTGCCACCACCCCACCCCCATTTCTGATCCAGTAGGTCTGAAGTGGGGCCCCAGAATTTGCATTGCTAACAAGTTCCCAGGTGATACTGATGAGCAAATGATCCTGGGATTGCTGAGGATCCAGGGATTACACTATGAGAGCCACCACTTTATAGGATAAAATAATGTTTTCCAATCTGCTTTTTTATCATTTTTTCCCTCATAATCCAGGCAACCAGGAGCTCAAGTAGCTTAAATTATTTCTCTTCCCTTTTTTATTTGTCTGCTTCATAAAAGTAAACAACCTGTGAAGAATTTTTTCTGCAAGCAATTTCTAAGAAATGTCATGTGGCTAGTGAAACGTTAGTACAGTCTTCTAAAACAACTATACAGCACTTATATAATTGTTCATATGAGTACCTAGGGAACTGTGTGATTTTTACTTAAAAACTGTAGATAATATATATGCAATTAATGATACTTTACATCATGGTCTCTCCATTAGATAGAGTACTGTATAACCATTAAAACTTGTGGTAATGACGTGGAGAAAAAGCTTATAGTAAATTAAGAACAAAAAAAACCCCCCCACCTGATTGCAAATCAACATAGATGATCTGATAGTGATTTTGGTGGGGAGTGGGGTGGCAGTATATGGAAAGCATAGAAAAAAAGAATAAAAAAACTCCAAAATGTCAATGAACTTACTGGTGGTTGGGTTTGTAGGTGCCCTTCTTGGTGGATTCTGTAAAATTTCTGGAGTAAAGGTGTTTCTTTCAAATTCACTACAAAAAAATACAAAATGAAGGACTGAGTAATGAAAGCTTTACTCCTTTATTTAAAATTCGTGGAACCATATTTTTATTTCTGAGTGGCTACTCTGGAGAATTTTAGAAATGGGAATGAAATCCTAGTGGTCTTCTTATTAAAGACTCTAGATTAATATCTGCATTGTTCTTTGAATAGTCAAGTGTTAGGTAGTGTATATGGTCTCTTCCATTATTTGAGCTGGTTGGACTGGTTCAGCATTAACAGCTTCCTAATAAAGGACTGAGAAGCTGACTGTGTTTGCAACCTGCACAAAGGTTTATTTTTATAGCCTATGGGTGTTGTTGAATTTTGTGGTAGATGTAATGAATAGGGAACAGTAAGTAGGTATAATTATTACTAATGCTGGAAAAAACTTCAGAGAAAAGTGAGAGTGAATGGAACAAGGCCCAAATGCATCATTCCTGCACACTATATGCATGACATAAATGCCATTTACAGTTGTACACCATGTTTGGAATCAGGCTATAATTGCAGGTCTGGAGAATTTTGACTGGAATTCAAGGTGAGTGACTTGGTTTAGTAGCAGTTTTGGTAGCAAAAGTGGCATTTCCAGTTTTAAGATTTGAAGGCTTCATCTCACTTGCGTAATCTTTTGTTTTTATCTTACACCTTAGAACTTGGACTCCCTGATCCGAATGGAAGCGATATATAGAATATAGGAGGTTTTAGGCTATGCTTTCTGATGTTTAGATAAAAGTAAGTGAACATAAAATTACTCCTGGCATTTAAATACTGGTGTTAGCAGCAGCAGTAGCAATTATCAGTGGGAAGTGCAGGATGAAACTGAGCTAGCTTCCAGTAATGTCAGTGAAAGCTACCATGTCTTGACTTGTGTATTTCACAAGAAAAGATATCTGATGGGTGTGGAACCTATTGTGCCAAAAATGGAGAATGTTCCCCTCCTTCAAATTCAGAACCTAATCATGTAAAAGTGTGATAGTTACTAATTTTCAGAACTTTCTTTCCAAACACCACCAGAATTCTCTTTTTTTGGTCATAAGCTGGGAAAGGCTCTGAAGGTAGAAAGGGTGAGCCACCATGATAACAGAAACATCTCTTGTGCCCATATTTTTGTTTCTGTGCAGTAAAGTGATATTCTGTCCAGCAGCCAATCTACTTCATAAGGAGCCCTTTTAAAAACTGATTTTTCCATAGTTAAAAAGCTTTAAAACATAAACACACACATAGAGGAGTTTAATGGATCCCCATGTACCTTATTACTCGACTTGAACAATTACCAAGTCTGTCTTGCTACCCTTCTTGTTTTGTCTATTCTTCCCCCAGCTTTTTGTGGGGGATAGTCTGGAGTACATTAAAGAAGATCTTGGCTCATTTCATCTGTGAATACTTCAGTATATATCTGTATCAGATAAGAATTTTTAAAACTAGAGTCATAATACCATTATTCATAATCAAAATTAACAATAATTTCTTAAAATCATCCAAAGCCTAGTCCATGTCACTTTTCTCCATTTGTCTAAAAGTGGCTTTTTACATTTGGTTTGTTTGATTCATGATCCAGAAAAGATCCATGCATTGTTTCTGGTTGATCTCCTTTAACCTATAACCATTCCCCTTTCCTTTAATTTTCATGCTATAGGCATACCTCATTTTATTGCACATCACTTTATTGCCTTTTGAGATGCTGTGTTTTCTACAAATTGAAGGTTTGTGGCAACCCTGCCTCAAGCAAGTCTATCAGCACCATTTTTCCATCATTTGCTAACTTTGTATTGCTGTGTCACATTTTGGTAATTCTTGTAATATTTCAAACTTTTTCACTGTTATTATCATCGCTATGGTGACCTGTGATCAGTGATTACAACTCACTGAAAGCTCAGATGATGGTTAGGATATTTTTAGCAATAAAGTATTTTGAAGTTAAGGTTTGTAGATTGTTTTTTAAGATGTAATGCTGTTGCACACTTAATAACTACAATATAGTGTAACCATAACTTTTACATGCACTGCTATATGGGCTTTATTTCAGTGGTCTAGACTTGAACCTGCAGTGTCTCCAGGGTATGCCGGTATTTATTTGATGAAGAAATTGGGTTGTCACATAGTGTTTCCTTCATTCTGGATTTTGCTGGCTATATTCTTATGGTGGTGTTTAACATATTTTGGGGAGTTAAAGGCTTGATTAGGTGTAGGTTCAGTTATTTGGAGGGCAGGAACGCTTTGTAGATAGTGCTTTGTATGTCTTGTATCACATAAGGGTACACACATCTATCTGGTTGTGTGTCTTTAATGATATTAAGATTATAAAGTTCCTCATCAGCTTTTTCAACTTGAATTTTTTATTGAGATAATTGTAGATTCATGTGCAGTTGTGGGAAATAATACAAAAAGATATGCCCTGTATTATTTACCCAGTTCCCCCAGTGATAGCATTTTGCAAAATTATGGAGTAATATCACAGCCAAGATAGTGACTTTGCTACAACCCACTAATTTTATTCAGTGTCCCCCAGTTTTACTAGTATTTGTGTGTGTGTATTCAGTTCTATACAATATATCACTCACATAGGTCTGTGTGTCCACTACCCCGGTCCAGATGTTGAACAGTTCCAATACTCCAAGGATCCCATTTCCCCCCCAACATACTACACAGTATTGAAGGCATCAATAATTTATTCCTTTTTTGACTGAGTAGTGTTCCATGGTGTGTACGGACCAAAGTTTAATCATTCACCTGTCAAAGGACATCTGGGCTGATTGCAGTTCTTGGCTGTTACCAGTAAAGCTCCCACAGGCATTCATGGACAGGCTTTTGTGTGGGCATAAGTTTTCATTTATCTGAAATAAATGGCCCAAAATGTGATTGTTAGGTTGTGTGGTAATTATGTGTTTAATTTTGTAAGAAACTTGCAAGTTGTTTTCCAGAGCAGCCACACTCTCTTACATTCCCACCAACCATGCCCGAGTGATCCAGTTTCTCTGCATCCTTGCCAGTATTGGGTGGTCTGACCCCTTTTCACTTAAGCCATTCTGAGGTGGGTTGTGATAGCTTGTTAGTTTTAAATTGTATTTCTCTGGTGGCTAGTGATGCTGAAGATCTTTTCATATGCTTCTTTGCAGTCTGTATATCCTCTTTGGTCAAATGTTCTGTTCATGTCTTCTGTTCATTTTTTAATATGATTTTTTCTTTTTACTGTTGTGTTTTGAGAGGTCTTTATACTAGATACTAGTTTCTGGTCAAGTGTGTGGTTTGCAAACATTTCTAGTTTGTAGTTCATTTTTTCATCCTCTTCCTGGGGTCTTTTTTTCTATATTAAAGTATCATTGATACACAATCTTATGATGGTTTCAAATACACAATACAGTGGTTCAGCTTTCACCTCATGGGGTCTTATGAAGGGCAAAAGTTTTTAATTTTATCAGTTTTTCCTTTTATGGATCGTGCTGTCAGTGTCAAGCATAAGAATGGTTGCCTAGGTCCAGATTCTGAAGATTTTCTCCTGTGTTTCTTACAAAAGTTCTATAGCTTTACATTTTATATTTAGGTCTGTGATACATTTGATTTGTGTGTGTGGACTGAGGTTTAGGTTGAGGTTTTGTTTGCTTGGATGGTTTTTGCCCGTGGATGTCCACTTGCTGCAGCATCACTTGTTGAAAAGGCTGTGCTTCATTGGATTCCTTTTGCAGCTTTGTCAAAGCCCAGTTGTGCATGTGTGTGCACATCTATTTTTGGGTTCTTCCCCATCAGCTTTTCAGCTCATATGCTTAGCAGCCATTGATTATCACTTATTATTTCGTTTGGGGTTGCAAAATGGTAGTTGACTATCATTTCTTCATTCATTAGCTGGAATGCTTCTGTAAAAGAGATGTTTCCTTACCCGTCCAGTTGCTCTGAGGTGCAGTTTGTACAAGGAAATTCTGGATCAATGCTTGCTTTTATTACGTGTTTTTGGAAAAATGACTTGATTCCCTGCCATTCTCCAAAAGTGACCAATAATGAGTTTGTAAGTGTCATTATGAATGGATTTTTAACGTATCTGATGTGTCTCAATCCACTGTGGTTACTATTCTTACTGATGCTCAGGTTGGCTCACTTTGCCAGTAGGAGTCTGTTCAGATTGGCTTTTGAGTCTGTTTGGCACAACTGCTGAGGTCTTTGGCAGCTTCCTTGTTTCCAGGCACAAGAATATCTCCCAGGTTCATCTTACACATTTCCTGCATAGCCTTGGAATCAGCCCTTTCTCTAAGGACCTTGATTCCTTTTTCATGGGACATGATAGATACCACAATCAGGATGTTAACAATGCAGCAGCTCTGAACACTCTTCTCTAAATATATAAATGTAACTATTTACATATAATATACATACATGATAGAGAAAAAAAATCATGCATTTATACAAATACTTTTGATTCAAATTAAAGATAAGGTCTGCACTTAAATTTCTTGATTTTATGTTTATATACTTTCTAATGACAGTAACATACATCGCTCATTTGATAAATAAATATTTTAGGGCATAGTCTTCAGTTTTATAGCCAAGATATTCTGTTGATAGTCTATGGGAGCAATTATAAGATTGACTCATTTAGTTGCTTCTTTAAAAAAACTGCATTCTTACCTGTTTTAACTGTAGATTATATTAATTTAAATAGGTACAGTCCACGCTTGATGGAAAAAATTCTCCAAATGGCCGAAGGTATTGATATTGGGGAGATGCCTTCATATGATCTGATGCTGTCCAAACCTTCCAAAGGTCAAAAACGTCACCTCTCAACATGTGATGGTGAGTATACTTGTGTCTGGAAGGTGGGATTTGAAGAAAGAACATGCTTTCTTTTAATGATATGCATGTGGTATAGAATTTTACATAACATTGGATCTTAACACAAATGTAAAAAAAGTTTCGACTTTTAGTCATGTCAGTTTTCTTTTCCATTTGCGGATGCTAAAAAGAACTGAAAACTAAGAATACTGAAGTCATACTATAATGCTATCCTTGAAATCCATGCCATGGGACCTTCCTCTAAATAAAATTATAATCTAATCATTTGAGCATCTATGTAACTAAATCCTCTCGGTTGGGTTCAAGATGGAACCAGCTTTGTACTGAACAGTGTTGTAGGGTAGAAAGCTCTAGTGTCTGGTGTAGCCTCAACAGAGAGTACTTCCATAGCTTTAAATTGGAAGTTGAAAACCTCTGGGATTTTTTGATAACTACTTTTATTTGATTGTTAGTCACAACTCTGTAAAGTACCATCACAGAGTAAGTCGCCTCTGATACAAAAGAGAGGCTTTGTAAATGCCTCTGGTCATCATCTCTGTTGCATTAGAGCCATCTGTTCTATTTGCAATCCTTCAGAGGGGAGCTTTTCAGCACAGGTGGTATAAGATTGTACTGGAACGACCTCTTACTTGGTACACTTCACCTTTGCTTTAATTTGTTAGATACAAAAGCATCTGCCAGTCTGCGTGGTGGTGACCTGCATACTTCAGTCAATGGCATATTTTCTATCAAGTCTCTTCCCTTATACGTGGAAGGACAGGAAGCATCCCTCCTTATGCTGTAGTCTTCCACAGATATTTGAGTCCTTTCACCTAAATGACCTGAAGTTTTTGTGATAGGAAGTTAACTTGTACCAACCATACAGCTTGCAAATAATATGGTTGGTACTAATTTCCTGCTTGGTTCTTTTGAAATATTCCCTTTTTAATGAATTGTAAATTTCACTCATTCTATAGGTCAAAATCCTCCTAAAAAGCAAGCTGGTTCCAAATTCCATGCGAGACCTCATTTTGAGCCTGTACATTTTGTAGCTAGTAGTTCAAAAGATGAAAGACAGGAAGATCCTTATGGCCCTCAAACAAAAGAGGTAACTGAACAAACACATTTTACCAGCATGCAAAGAGACATCTACCAGGATTATACTCAAGACTCTTTCAGTGTACAAGATGGGAATTCTCAGTATTGTGATTCATCAGGATTCATTTTCACAAAAGACGAGCCTGTAACAGCCAACATGTATTTTGACAATGGGAATCCTGCCCCAAGCAGCACATCACAGCAGGCAAACTCTCAGTCAGCTCCTGAGCCTTCACCATCACAGACATTTCCTGAGTCAGTGGTAGCCGAGAAGCAGTATTTTATTGAAAAATTAACCGCAACTATCTGGAAGAACGTTTCTAATCCAGAGATGACTTCTGGATCTGATAAAATTAATTATACATATATGTTAACTCGCTGTATTCAGGCATGTAAGACAAATCCTGAGTATATATATGCTCCTTTGAAAGAAATCCCTCCTGCTGACATCCCCAAAAATAAAAAACTTCTAACAGATGGTTATGCTTGTGAAGTTAGATGCCAAAATATCTACTTAACTACAGGTTATGCTGGCAGCAAGAACGGGTCCAGGGATCGAGCTACTGAGCTAGCTGTGAAGCTCTTGCAGAAACGTATTGAAGTTAGGGTTGTCCGACGGAAATTCAAGCATACAATTGGAGAGGACCTTGTGGTGTGTCAAATTGGCCTGCCTTCATACGAATTTCCTCCAGCTCTGAAACCACCAGAAGAGCTGGTGGTGCTGGCTAAAGATGCTTCTGGACAGCCGATTTTTAATGCTTCCGCCAAACATTGGACCAATTTTGTCCTTACAGAAAATGCAAATGATGCGATTGGGATCCTTAACAATTCTGCCTCATACAACAAAATGTCAGTTGAGTACAAATATGAGATGATGCCAAACCGCACATGGCGTTGTCGAGTGTTTTTGCAAGATCACTGCTTAGCTGAAGGTTACGGAACCAAAAAAACAAGTAAGCATGCAGCTGCTGATGAGGCTTTGAAAATTCTTCAGAAAACACAGCCCACTTACCCATCTGTCAAAAGTTCACAGTGCCAAACAGGCTCTTCACCCAGGGGATCGGGAAAGAAGAAAGATATAAAGGATCTGGTAGTTTATGAGAATTCTTCGAATCCTGTGTGCACACTGAATGACACGGCTCAGTTTAACCGAATGACAGTTGAATATGTCTATGAAAGAATGACAGGTCTCCGATGGAAATGCAAGGTGATTCTCGAGAGTGAAGTAATTGCAGAAGCAGTCGGGGTGAAGAAAACTGTCAAGTATGAAGCTGCTGGGGAAGCTGTGAAAACCCTCAAAAAGACCCAGCCAACTGTCATTAACAACTTGAAGAAAGGAGCTATTGAAGATGTGATTTCAAGAAATGAAATTCAGGGCCGCTCAGCAGAGGAGGCTTACAAACAACAAATCAAAGAAGATAACATCGGAAATCAGCTGCTAAGAAAGATGGGCTGGACAGGTGGTGGTTTAGGGAAATCTGGTGAGGGCATTCGGGAGCCAATCTCTGTCAAAGAGCAGCATAAGCGGGAAGGCCTCGGTCTTGATGTAGAGAGGGTAAATAAAATTGCCAAGAGAGATATTGAACAGATCATCAGAAACTACGCCCGCTCTGAAAGCCACACAGACTTAACTTTCTCTACAGAGCTGACTAATGATGAACGGAAACAAATACATCAGATTGCTCAGAAGTATGGTCTTAAGAGTAAGTCGCATGGGGTAGGTCATGACAGGTACCTGGTGGTAGGCAGAAAAAGACGGAAGGAAGACCTACTAGATCAACTCAAACAAGAAGGCCAAGTGGGGCATTATGAACTTGTGATGCCTCAAGCAAATTGAGATCTTCCCAACGTATTTTGTAAATGCCTGTTGAGGCAGATTTGTGAATTACAGAAATGCTCCATGTTCTGGTTGCAGAGTATATTCATTCTTAAGATGTTTCACCTTGTTCATTTCATATAGTGCTTTATGAGATACTGGAATCTGAAGATTTCTGTCCACTTGTATTAGCTTAATCCAGCAGATGATACTGTGCAGTTACTGTTTGTGTCTTTGATATTGCTGTGTCCCTCAGGTTTGAGTAGTTTGTACAAAGAAAGAACAAATATCTAAGTGGAATTTCACCCCAGGAAAGAAATTCCCACTGTAAAGGGCATAGCACAGCGGTCTGCAACAATATGTAAAGTTGATATTGACTACAATGAAACTACAGGCTTAATTCTAGACCTACTGAACATGTCAGATCATTTTGTATTATCTATCTTCATCTTTGTGTGAAGCCAGTTATAGAATGTTTAACAGTAAATTGTGCTGTATGTGTAAATGTCTTACCAACTAAATGATGTAAAACTTTCTTAAAGTAATTTTAGTGTTCATTTATTTATAACTTCTGCCATGTGGTTTCCAGAATATTGGAAGTGGTTTACTGTATCTTGTGACATATGAATTTTAACAAATTCTAGTCTTCATGCCAAGAGAGCACTACTTGAGAGAGCAGTTGAAAAGTTTCAAAAGCTTTGATGCAATCTAAAGAAAGGAAGGTGGAACTATTTGTTCTTGGTGCCTTGCAGAGAGACTCACAGCAACTCTCCGTTATAGCTTTCACACGGTCTGGATGTACAGAACATCCAAGGTGGCCACAGCTGTGGTAAAACTTGGTAAAAGACTGAAGACCCATTGGTGCTTTGATGAGATGGTCAGTTGGCTGGTCCCTCTCTCAGAAAGCTATTAAGCCCCCAAAGCCAACTTTGTAACATATTTAAAACTGCTATTTTCACTTATTTCTGGAATGTAAAAAAATGTATAAAAAAATTTAGTGTATGCTTCCTGAATAAAAAGGAGCCGAGTTGATCAAAATGATAGTATGCTTATTTCTGGGCAGCAGCCTAGCAGGGACACTTTGGGTCTTTGGAGAGGGAAAGTGGTGTTTGCACAAAATATTTCAACACCAGAGCACATGTGGATGAACATAATGACTTAGCAAATCGGAACAGTTGATCAGTCACCCATCATGTTCTCCTCTGGACCAACATGCTGGCTTCAACCAAATCTCAGTCTGTTGACTCTTGCATGGTTTTTGTTTTGTATCTCAGATAAATCTAGTGTTAATATTCACAGTATTACTATACAAAGATGAATATTAATATTGATAAATATCTTCAATGAAATGACACTTAGGACAATTAGGTGGTTTATTTAGCAGCACACTGGACATGTAATTGGCCCACAATAAACAGTAATGTCCCCATTTATATTTTACTTTTTTCTTTCTATAAGTATTTTATGTGAAGAAACTGTCCATTATTAAATTTGTATCTTAAAAATATAAAGGGATTAACTTTTACACTTGGATCTCTGTTAACTTTTATTCGCCTATAATGATTAACACAGTGTGTGGTATTTGCTTTCTAGTAACTCTTTCTTCCTACAGTGTATGGCCTTTCCTAATGTTGGTAGTGAGGTAAATGAGGTGTGCGTTTTATTTTGGCACTTAATGTTTTAACAATGACAAAGGTAACTAAGCTAAAACTTTTATAGATTTCACAGGATTAATTTTTTTTCCTACAAGGCTCATGGCAACCTTGAGAAGCTATGGTTCAATTAGTGAATGAGAAGAGCCAGCTTTTAATTCTCTGAAGTGACTGTGGATTAAGGGGTGTGAAAACTCATTTTTATCTCTATATTTTTTCCTTGTCCCAAAATGATTGGGTGGGGGGCGGGAGTAGGGAAATGTTGCATATTAATCTGGTTTCTTTAGATAAGTTCAATAAAACAAAATACTAGTGTAATTACAGTTAAGGCTCCTAAATAATTGAGCCAGGTATATATTTGGTTCTGCATTGGAGGGTCCAGATTTCCTAACTTCTTAGATCAGCTTTGGTATTGATGTGGAATTAAGGTGAAGTCACTTAACTCTGTTCGAGAATAAAATATATTGAGAAGTGGTTTTGGCAAGAATGAGCTGCTGAGACAGCCTTGCTGTTCTATTTTGTCCCTTTTGTTGGTTCCTGTATTTTCCCTTTCTTTGAAATGGCAATCATTTTTAACCCAGTGCCCTTGATGTAAGACCTGCACAGGTACATGAACAGTTTCAAGTTTTATTTGCATAATTTAAATAACCTTATACTGAGGAACTAACTCTGCTTTCAGTTATATATATATATAGCATTGAGTCTTACAGATGTGCTTTTTAGATTTTTCCTCTCCTTTGATTGCAAAATGAATGAAAGTTTCATGCATTCTGTTGGTATTTTTTAGTAGTATACAATGCACTCACTTTGCAATGAGTAACCCCTGAAGCTGCAGATGGGTCCTAAATAAAGGACTCTAATTACAACTTAGGTTCTTCAGATCCCCTTCCCGCATCAGCAGGTGCAGAATTGAAGACTCAAGTTCAAATCCGATTGCAATTTGAAAAGAGGACTTGCAAATGTTTTAGCTTTCTAATTACTGTTCTAATTATTATATGCAGGCAGTCTGTGGCATTTGTTTAAAAATTAGAAAAAAGCAAATTAGCTTTAAATGTTTGGTTTGTGGTACCTTTGGGTATGCTTTGGGAAGCCAGTTTGTTGACTCTGTTGTAAGGTTTTAAAAGGATTATCCCATGAGATTGGGAGTAACATTTCTCAGGTGTACAAAACGTATTGAATCTGCACATTCCCAATCTCACCTTAATTTTTTCAAGTGTAATTAACAGTGTATTTAAGGTACCCAGCCACAGTAGGATGAAAAAGTTAATGTAAAACTAATCTACCAAAGACCAATTTAATGTGGTTCTACTTGAAAGCAGAAATGTACTTGAGGGAAAATATTAATTATTAAGCCCATTTAAGGATGTTGCTCCTAGGTGAAACAAAGCAATTAATGTGTTCAGTATAGAATAAACTCCCCCACACTGAGGCTCCTTTAAGTGCCATGTCTTAAAGGATGAGTTGTTACATGCACCATAAGGACTTAAGTTTAATCTCATTTAGCCCCCCTTTCCCCTTAACAAGTAGAGGTGAGCATTTCCACACTCTCCTTGTCTCTAAAATGAGATAGATGGCTCCTCAGAAAAAAGCAGTTTTGTTTAACAAGATTGACTACACCTATACTCCCAGACTTTACACAGGCTTTACCATACTTCATCATAGTTTGGTAGTTTGTTTTTAAGCTAAGGCTTTTTTAAGAGGTGGAATGTCAGGATCAACAAGTTAGACCTTGGTCTGACAGTGCTGATAAATATTCGTTTATTCACTACGCTCATAACGTTTCCTTTACTGACCATATTATATGGCAAAGAAAGTTTGTTTTATTTAACAGCCTTACATTAAAATGCTTAAAAAACCTCAAAGCATGAACAGTTACTATTGAAAAAATAAAGGTCCTCTCTAACAGTACTCACACTTTTCCCTCCCAGAATCTGTATTTTGGCCTTTATCATGTTCATTTCAAGGGGAGAAATGAGTAAAAGAAATTCCAGTAAGTTAATATAAAAGTTTACACTGAGCTAAAATATAAGTATACCTTGACTGCAAAATTTTAAGATTATTTTTATTTACAAGTTTTGAAAAATGTACATTTTTTTACATGGGTTACTTGTGCAAAGTTAGATTTAGAAGAGTGATGGATGCACAAAAGATAACAGTGTAACACTAAACATTTACAAGCCTTGTCCCCACTGCTACTTAAAGATTGTCTATCTAAAAATATAAATATCCAAAGAAAGATTACAAACTTAAAGGTTCTTATAATACTGAAAGGGAAGAAATTAAAGCATGCAGCATTAACTCAGGATTTAAGTGGGGAAATAGTTTGCCACAGGTATGCTCCTTTCCTTGGGTTAAAACTCTTAATGATGGGGGGTTATGTTTATCTAGGGTAGCACTGCTCCTTTAAAAAGATTAAAGGATCTCCAACCTTCCCTAGCTTGCAAATTAAATTCTCCATTCCTGTTCCCACACCTCTTTAAAAAGCAAAGAACCAGAAGACTTCAGTGTTCTGAAACTTAGCATGGGTTTGCCCAGTATCTTGCAAGGAGAGAATCTGTCAGTTACCACATTGCTGCACCCCTTTGACCAAGTCATTTAACATTCTCCCTACCAGTAAAAACCATCTTGTAACTCAATACCAGTTAGATCTTAGTACCATAGCACTTTTAGCTTCCACTGCTCTTTCAAAATGGATGTTTGTGATTCGTTGCCCTGTTTTCTATAGGCCATATTCCAAACATTTACTAAATCCAACCCAAGTGAAGGTCCTGCCAGGATGAAACAGTTCAATTATTTTGTTAAATATAACATCGTGGTCATCAAGCTATCAGAAGCACCACTTGTAGAACAATTCATTTAAAAAGTTTAGTGTGAAGTACAGAAACAATAGTGCCCTAAAATTGGAGATAAGATACAACAGAAAAGGAATTAAACGTTAGTAATTTTTGCACGTAACCCAGGTACAGTACATTTGATCTCATAGAGGGTGTTTTTCTGATGTTCAAGGAGAGGGTAGAAGGGGCAGGAAAAGCTTGACAAGGGAAAATGGAAACAGTACAACAGCTATTTCACTTTTAATAAAGTAAAGTAATGACATTAAGGAATAGGAAGGTGACAAATACATCAATATATATTTTTCTTATGACCAGCATCTTTTGCTGCACCCGGGTCAACAATCGCGCCAGCTCTGTTCTACTATTGCAGAAACACGTTTTTCATATTCCCGCTTGTTTTCCTGGTACAGCTGAGCAGCCTGGCTGTTTGCTGGACTGTTGGGATTGGGTTCATCCAACAGAGACTACAGTACAGAGACAATTTTTAAAAGATCAGTCAGTTCCTCAATGCAAAAAAAACATACATTCAAAACATTCAACTGAATTGTCCTAATAACAGCTAAATTTGTTCTCTTAGCATACCAACCTACAGTTACATTAGTCTGCTAGTAGCTAGGCAAATAGATATGTTCTCTGGTGGCTTGGTTCTTAATAACCTACCTTTTACCTAAGTTGTAACTTCTAAAAACAATTCAACTGCTAATATTAACATATCAAAGACCACACACAGTCACATTAAGGAAAATTCACCTGTATGGATGTTAAAATGGAAGACACATCATAGGTTGGACTCCAACGGTTCTGAAGTATGTCCAGACATATACTACCATCTGCATAGACTAAGGGTATAGAAGTAGGTATGTTAAACATAACAAAACTATTAAGGTTTTAATACCATAGTCAAGAATACTTCAACTATATTTTGAGGCTTAAAAAGATGGCTGTTTCTCAGTGTCCTTCCTAAAAAGAAGTCATAATCATTACTAGTGACATAATCATGATAAGAGCATGTCAAACAGAATCGGTATAAAATTAGAAGATACTTAGTGCTTGTTCTTCTGAAAAGACGGCCCTATTATCCAGGAAATCATACATACTTTCTAATAGGGTCCCTAGCCATCCACAGACTTGTGGGAAACTCATTCCACCAAATTCGTAAACCTTATCTCCTATCTGAAATAACAAAAGATAGCTCAGAGTTCACAGGGTTTCATTTTGGCTGCCTGATACCCTGTAAAATACTTTATTAATCTGAATAAAAGGCAAGCCACTCTAGGCTTACTACTAGGAAAAAAAGCCAAATGGCAAGTTAGAATCACCTGTGGCACTTTCCCAATCTACTGCATCCTTGGCCCTCAACCACAGAATCTGACATTCAGCAGGTCTCAAGTGGGGCCAGGAGATCCATATTTTTAAAACATTCCACAGTAATTCTGACCTGCATCCAGAATTGAAAACTACTGTTCTAAATGCTAGTGAAAATAATTACATACAACACAAGACTACCCCGGTCTAGCCTAACATTAAAAGAAACCTCAAAAGCATCCTTATTTTTGTTTAATAAATAAATGATAAAGATCATCAAAACCAGGAAGCTCTCAGATTCCAAGCAGAGGCAAAGTCTCTTCACTGCTTCAGATCTAGGCTATACATCAAGACAGCAAGAGACCACCATCCAGAAGTTCAGTTGCTGGAAAACAGCAGACAGATGCCTAACAAATACTCAGGAACTGCAGACAACAGGGGATGTAGAATACCTCCATAATACACAGTGTGGGAGTTTACAATATGGTGCTAAAGGTGATACTTGCCATTTGGATGAAACATCTTAGAGACAAATCTAACTGTAGGTGGTTTGTTCGGATATTCTTCAGTGAATTCTATTGTAAGCTTAAATGTTCCTGCAGTTAGAAAAAAAAGGTTTTTCAGAAAACATACTTATCACTTTGTTCAGTAGTGCTTTGTTTTTAATGCTAACAGTGACTTTTTTTGAGTACTGAATGAACTAAAGATATAGAGAGGAAAGAGAGACCAGGTAAGAGATAAATCTCCAGGAATTGCTCTAAAAATGAACAGATATTGTAAGAACCACCATCATAAAGGGTATTTGTTTTTTGTTTTGCCATCATTCTTCCTCCAGCTTAAATACAGCCATATTAAACTCAAACTTACTGCCTTCACGTTAACCTTAGCCACTGTACATTTTGAAGACATCTTTGTAAAATGAAGACAAACTACAGCCAAAATTTGGCCTGCCTTTAGAAGACTGAAAGATCTTAAAGGCCCGTTTTAATCAGCTGCAGCTTAAACTCTCCAGTGATTTTTAAATGGACTGGAAGGAATGAGAGTACACAAGTTCAAAAGTAAATGTTAGAAATACAAATCAATAATAAAATTTTTTAGAAGGGAATAAGTATAATAGTGTTCACTGGTTCCTTTTCATGTAATAGCTGCTCTATGATGAAAACATAATTGAATGGAAGTTAAAAAAAATTCATAGTCCCTCTAAAAAACTCAAAGTATATATCAAATGTTATGTGACTAAAGGAAGATTAGTCAATGAGAAATAAATAAAATCCTTTTTTTAAATATCTCAAATACTAAAGATGTCAACTAGTAGTTCAAATACTTTTACTCATCTTTTAAATGTATTAAACTTTCAAAAAACAATTAACTACACACACATTCACACAAGTGAGTGCATATAAATCTGTACCACTGCCAATTTCCTGGTTGTGCTATTGTAATACAGTCATTCATGATGTTACGAAAGTGGAGGTGGGTGGGTGGAAGGTACATAGTATCTGTATTAATTACAACTGCATATGAATCTATAACTATCTCAATATAGAAAGTTTTTAAAATAAAAAACCCTTAAATAGTGATTAACATGTGTTTTTAGAAGTTAAACCTAAATCCATTAAAAATCATGTACCTATAGACACATGCAGTACCTTCAAGTAGACTGGACACAAGTCAAGAATGTACATTAAGGCTACCCTCAATTCTGAAGCTGCTTTGAGATTATTGGCCATAAAGTCTTGATAAAAGCACACACTGAAAACTCATCTAAAAATAAGAAACAGTATTACACTCAAACTGGCCATTAAAGGTGCCATTAAAGACCATCTTACAGCAGTGAGGCTAACAAGCATTCAATGCCAGATTGTAGGAACCAAGTAGTTGTGTGCATGGGATTCCTGCATCCATTTAATACCCAACAAACACATATTAAGCACCTGCTTAACACAGTTCCTGGCCCTGTGCTAGAATTATGAACCATATGGTCTCTGGGGTCTCTGAGTCTATCAGCAAGTGGTTGGGTTGATACTCAGCATCTTGATGGGGGAGCTGAATTTAGCAGAATCACAGCCCAAGCCTCAAAACTCAACATCAGTGCTATGATGCTCCTTTAAAAAAGTGATTGCCTTACCCATGTTTTCGTACAACGAAGCAAGAAAAGCGCAATTCTAGTCAGACAATATAGTCAGAACAACCTGCCACATATGGGATTCCACTCAAGCCTTTAGGAGACAGAAGCTAGGGAGAAGCAGGTTCCTAAGTAGAAGGAACTTCAAGGATGACTGGGAACCCTTTCCCCAGATGATCAGGCTCCTGAAAGGTGGGTAAAGAAACTCTCTTACCATCCTCAAACGGGGTCCCTTCAGGCCTGCAACACAGAGAAAAACAGTTAGTTCCCGCTTCAAGGGCTCCCTTCTCCCTGGTTCATCTTAGGAGATAGCTATTCCAAGCTCTGCCAGCTCCACCTCTGGTAAACCACCTCTGGGACGCAAAGCCACTACAAATAGATGTTTCGGGCTCAGAAACACAGTGCAAGCCGCCGCGCCAACCTAAACCACTCCCCGCCCCGCCTCCCTTAGAACCCCAAATGGTTCCCCTGGCAGCGGGAACTGAGCTAATCGAGGCACAGGCTCCGGGGAGGCGCCTAGGCCCAGCCAGACCCAAACACTTTCTCTTTGCCCCTCCGCCTCCGCCAGGGGCCGGTCCCAGAGAGCAGGGTGGGCCAGCTCCCGTCCCCCACCTCTCGCCACCGCCCGCAACGCAGACTCACCCAAAAATGACCGCGTTCCAAACCATTATGTTGTTCTCAGACGGAGCCCCGCTGACTCCAGCTGGAGGATCCTCCTGCAACCTTCAGACAGAGGGGCCCCACAATCCGGCACTCGCGTCCGCTCCCAGCTGCCCTCCACCCAACCCAGCCCGCCCCGGGACCCGCCCTGTGCCCCACCTGGCAGCCCCCGGCCTTGGCGGCCCCGGTCAGCTTACCTCTTGAAGTCCCGCATGAGGCGCCGCCGAGCCGGGGTGGACATATCTCTAGCGGGGTCAGGGGTGGGGCATACACCGAGGTCTCGGGTCCCCGCGGAGGGTGAGGAGGCCGACGAGGCGGAGGAAGCGCCCAACGGAACCGCACTACCTCTCCGAAGTCGAGGGTCGCTCTGCCGCCGGCTAAGCACCGCCCCGGAGTAGACGGGGGCTGAACCAACCTGGGAGGAAAGGGAGGGGGTGGAAGGCCCGACGCCGGACAGACCGTACCAAGACGGGGCAGGGGAGGGGTGTGGAAGGAAAGTTGCTTAGGTCATAAAACCCCAGCGCCCAGCAGGGCGGGCCGCGCGGGGCGGGGAGCGGGGCGAGACGCGGGGCCGTTGAAGCTTGCCGTTCACTAGGGTTTAGTGGTGGAATGGGGTCCATCACCTGCCAAGTCTAAGACGAACCCCGAGAAACCTTTTTTCTGTTTTCGTTTTTTGCCTTTTTTTTGGGGGACGAGATCACTTATTAAAGTGAGCACCGTGGTTTGGGGGAGCAGAAGGGTGGAAGTCCCTAACTTAAGAGGGGGTGGGAGTGGGTGGAGGCAAATCAGCTTCTCCAAAAGCAGGAACTTTTTAAAGGTGCAAACTCCCTGCTGACACAGGAGACTGGGGAGGAGGGCTTGTGGCTGGTTAAAATCACTGAAGATCAGAAGAAGACTATGAAAGGGGGCTATGGGTCCTTTTTCTGTGGGATGTATTGTGCGGGATGTGGGTCCCAACATTTAGGCCTTGATCGCCCCAAAGCAGAATAAAATGGTGGTGTGTGTCCTATGGGATGGAGGGAGGGCTCAGGGCAAGTAGTATCAGGTTTTCGCTCTGGGCACTTACAATTTGACTCTGGAACCACATTTTCCCTTGGCAATTCAACAAGCCAAGAGGCTACTGTATGTTCGGAAGAGTCCAAGGTATGAGAATATCCGACTGCAGACTGGAAGGGCAGCGAGTCTCACATATAAAAGCAATGGTAAGAAGCACATAAAAAAGCTGCCGGTTGCAGGGCAGGGTCACAGTATGCGGACCTGAAAAAGCAGTAACACATATTAAAACAATAGTTTATAAAGGCCACCCCAAAATAACAGAAGGTAGGCAAAATACTCATTTAAGAAATTTTGCAAATATGAGAACAGTAGGTTTGGGTTAAGTCATGGAGAATTGAATGCCAAGCTAATGGATTCCTTGGAAGGTGGTTGAGCAGAGAAGCGATGTGATGAGAGCTGTGATAATCAGAGATTTGTCCCAGGAGAGCACCTAGGAGATTCTTGAGATACTCTAGGTGAGAGATACTGAACCAGGAAGAGACAACAAAAAGAGAGAGGACTTAGCAACAAATTGAATGTGGGGGCAAGAGAGTGGAAGGAGTTGACAATGGCTTGTGTCCTAAGTCTCAAGATAACTGGGGGTTTGAATGTGCCACTAACAGAATTAGAGAATAGAGAGGAAGGGGCAATTTTGGGAGAGGAAATTTGGGAATTTACTGAGTTCATGGGACTGGTAAGAAATCCATGTGAAGATGTCCAGAAGACATCAGATGTGCAGAAATTTGTTTCTAACATGGGAAGTGGGAGGCATTTGACTATAGGAGTGATTCTACCAGCTGCTTAACAGGTACCTTCAAGGGTAAGGATTTTTATCTCCCATTACTCCAGCATATCAGTTAAGGCAAGGCTCCCTAATAGCATCACACTGTGACTGTGATGGGAGGTGGGTACAAAATGAAAGCCTTCTTTTCCTCTCATCTAGGAACTTGCACTCTGCTAAGACACACATACGAAATCAACAAAAGCAAAATCTGCAAAGAAGTGCATTTGTTTCCTATTGCTACTTAACAAATTACCACAAGCATTTGGCCGAGTTCAGTTCCTTGTGGGTGTAGGACTGAGGTCCCCATTTCCTCACTGGCTGCCAGCCAGAAACCAATTTCAGCTCCTAGAGGTCACCCACATTCCTTTCCACATAGCCTAGTCCATCTTCAAAGCCAGTTACAAAGAATTTCTCTCCCTTCAAGTCTTTCCCACATTTTGAATCTCTTTCTTCAGGAGGAGCCCAGTTCACTTTCAGGACTATCTGGCGAGGTCAGGCCCACCCTGGATAATCTTATCTTAAAACTATCTCATTTGGGACCTTAACTACATCTGCAAAATTACCTCACAGCAGAACCTAGATTCATGTTTGATTGAATAACTGGAAGAAGATGTGAGTACATCAGTGGCCAGGAATCTTGAGTATAGGCATGGCATCTTAGCAGTCTGCCTACTAGAGCAGCAGCAAGATACATAGTGGAAGCATGTGGATCCACAAATGCTGAAGGACTGCACGACAGGGGAATAAGCATCAGACTGGTGGGGTTAGAACAAGCTTCCTGGAATGTATCAGGCACAATTTTGTTTCATATGAGGGCAACAGCCCAAACAAGACATGGAGCTAAACCATGGTCTAGGGGTAGAGGGCAGATTAGAATAGCTCATGGAGAATGAAGGAAAAGTGAGGGTGACCAAAGTTGATGAACCACCCTCAGATGCAAGGATGAGGAATTCAGGCATGATAGTCAGCTGTTAGAGGTGTTTGAGCCTGAGAGAGATGTATTGCAAACACCCTACTGAGAAGTGGCATATAATGTACTGGAGAGTAGGTGAGGGATGGGGAAGTCCTGCCATTGGATATATAAATGTCTTAAATTCCTTGAAGGTTAGAGATGTATTTGGGTTTGTTGTAGGCTTGTCTGTTTTCTGAAGCCCCCTTGCTCTAGTTAAGGACTAGCTCTTTGACTACCTCAACAAGAAAACTCAGGGGCATGCACCAATGCAGTTTGGAAGCACCCCGGCACCAGGGTATGGCGCGAGCATCCCGACTGCTTGTTAGAATTGCATTGCAGGAACGCTGTGTCCCCATGTTCCTCAGCAGAAGCAGAGCTGTCAGAGCAAGCAGCGATGCTGATGGTTGCTCTCCGGCACAGACAGTTATCAGGCCAGAACATACTACCTATAGCAGTCAGCCAAACATTCCTTCCACCCACTCTTCACCTTGATATCTTGAAGAAATACTCTCTGCAGAGCCCAGCATCTCCCACGTATACCCCCCCACCCATCAGGGGTCAAGAAACTAGAAGTCTTTTTCAATTTAAAGAAAGATGTGTTAGCAAGGCAGCTGCAGGGAAGATTTTTTTAAATTCCAAATACTGTCTATAGGCAGGTATTTAAAAATTTTCCTAAAAGGGAAGACCAAACTATAGGAATATATGACTAGGGAAATGTGGGATTTCATTCATGAAGCTTTCAAAATGCAGACGAGATTGTGATTTTCCTCAACTATTTTCGGTTGGAGGGAGAGACCAAATAAACTATTCATTTCCTGCCTAATGAAACTCTGAGTTTAGACTTCTGTTAGCCAATAAAGGCAAGTAACTTTTATCTTCCTATTGTTTCCACTTCTATTGGTAAAATTTAATACAAATGGCAACCAAGAAACTGCAGACAATAAAACAAAAAGGTAAGTGGATTAAAGAGGGCGTGAGAGGAGAGACAGAGGCTTCCTCCTAAAACTGGATACAATTAGAAAATTTAATTGGCGTAACTAAGCCTGAGAGAGCAACAGGAAAGAGGACAACATCAGACTGCACACACCTGGAGAAAAGAGCAGACCTCAGTGAACGGGTACCGTACCACCGGCCCTGTGGCTCCGCGGGACCCGAGCCCCTCCCCCACCCCAGCTCACTGGCCGGAGGAAGAGAAACGGAGCAGGGTGGGAGTGGAAGGCTGGGGACTGCTGAATACCTAGCTCCGGGGATCTGCGCTGGGAGCACAAACCTACATTTCACGGTGCTTTCATGAGACTCGCATGACTACCAGGTTGGAAAGTTAATAAAGGCAGAATTCCTGGGGAGACTGGGATTCCAGCTGCTTGTGGAAAGCAGGGATCCATATCTGGCTGCTCTGGGACAAAAACTTATTCCTGTGTGCCTGGCCCACTGGCTCAGGCACAGGAGCCAGGAGGTGGGGAACAGCTCTTTCCTACCCCCAGGCACCAGTACCACTCCCCTGCGACCCCCGACATTGCTTCGGGGCTCAGCAGCTCCAGAATAGAGCTTCTGGACACTAGAGGGCACCATATACAAATATGAAATGCCAAAGGAACCTTCTCCAGAGTAAAATTGTTAATACAACTCCCGAGAAAGATTTAAATGATATGGACCTCATGACTCTTCCTGAAAGGGAGTTCAAAATAAAAATAATCACCATCCTAATGGAGGTATGGAAAGACATCCAAGAACTCAGGAATGAACTCAGGTCAGAGATCCAATCGTTAAAGAACACGATGGAGGGTATTAAAAGCAGGTTGGATACAGTGGAGGAGACAATAAGTGAAATGGAAACTAGAGAAGAGGAATACAAAGAAGCTGAGGCACAGAGAGAAAAAAGGAACTCTAAAAATGAAAGAATATTGAGAGAACTGTGTGACCAATCCAAGCGGAATAATACTCATATTATAGGGATACCAGAAGAAGAGAGAGAGAAAGGGATAGAAAGTGTCTTTGAGGAGGTAGTTGCTGAAAACTTCCCTAATCTGGGGAAGGACATAGTCTCTCAGGCCATGGAGATCCACAGATCCCCCTACACAAGGGACCCAAGGAAGACAACACCAAGACACATAGTAATTAAAATGGGAAAGAGTAAGGATAAGGACAGACTGTTAAAAGCAGCCAGAGGCAGAAATAAGATCACATACAAAGGAAAGCCCATCAGACTAAGGACAGACTTCTCAGCAGAAACCTTACAGGCCAGGAGGAAGTGGCATGATGTATTTAATGCCATGAAGCAGAAAGGTCTGGAACCAAGATTACTTTATCTGGCGAGATTATCATTTAAATTTGAAGGGGGGATTAAACAATTTTCAGATAAGCAAAAGCTGAGAGAGTTTACCTCCCACAAACCATCTCTACAGTCTATTTTGGAGGGACTGCTATAGATGGAAGTGTTCCTAGGGTTGGATAGCTGTCACCAGAGGTAGTAAAATCACGGTGGGGAGGGTGGAGCAGTTGATTGCGAGGCAAATGCAAAATTAAATTGACAATCCCCAAAGCCAATCAAAGGATAGAGAAAAAGTATAGAATCTGATACCTAAAATATAAAGAATGAAGGAGGAAGAAAAAGGAGGAGAAATAGAAAAGAACCTTTAGATTGTGTTT